GCGCCCCCCCCCCCCCCCTTTTTTTTTTTATAATCACTGCTGGTAAGATTACAAGTACAAAGGAATTGGTGAGAAAGGGCCCCCTTGGCCACTGAGTCTAGCTCCCTGCTGTCTTAGGCAAGCACATCCTATAGTTCCTCTTACTCTGTCTTAAAATTGGTTAAATTCTTTGCCCCTTTCACTTCTGGTGAAAGACTATTCTAGAATCTTGCTGTTCTGGTAGAAATCTTCTAATTTCCAAACTTAACGGCTGCTTTTACCTACTTACCTGTCAACATTATTTGTGATGAGAACTGATGCTTTTCTGGCACTTACTTTCTGGTATTTTTTGTAAATACAATTCCATTTCCTTGCAATTTTTTTATTCTTAATTTTTTTTTTAAACATAAAATACATGTTCCATTTTCCCCAGTCATCTTCTTAGCCTTTTGCTGGACTTGTTACCATTTAGGGTTTAATCTTTCTTGAACATGGCTAACCAAAACTGTGCCCAGTACTGCATGTGATCTAAGCACAAAGTTGTATGTATTAGCACTGATTATTTCTGTTGTGAGTGTACTCCATACAGGATTGCCATCTCTCACTGTTATGCTGGCTGGATGGCTCAGTCTTTGCTATGATCACCAAAGTTCATTCTCTCTTGTTTCCAACTGAGAAGCTCCTAGGTAAAGCAGAAATTTATAAATGTTAACACACTCTAGAATTCTTTCATTTCACTTCTGTCTCTGTGTACTTTAGTTCACTGTGTGGTCTGATCATGGTCTGTTAATGAAATTACCCAACTTTATGAACGGAATTCATCAACCAGCTCCACTGTACACCTAGCTCATTGATAAAGCTAATAAATAGGACTGGTTTTGAAATGAGTCACTGAAGAACTCTGCAGGAATCCTCCCAATTTGACAGGGATTAGAATAGTGCAACCTGTTGTCATGTATCCTTTAGCTAGTTCACAGCAAATACTGCAGTTCTTGTGTTGATGCCCATCTTCTCTTGTGATGACATAATGAGTACTTGAGTGAAGCCTAGATTTTAAAAAAAAAGGGGGGGGGCAATTTTTAATTCTACCTTTTTAAATTAGGTAGTATCGTCTTTAATCTTTATTCTGTTGTCTTTCTGTTCAACTAGTTTCAGACTAAGCACTGAGGAATTTTGTCATCTTTTGGACCGTCTGTTCTTTGAAGGGCCGTGTGTATTTTAGATTCTGTTATTACAGCACTGACAGTGACTACCATTATTTACCTTTTTTCTGTTCAGCACCTTTCTGTTTATACTAGGCTGAAAATTACTGTTTTTAGCAGCTTCGAGACTGAAAAAAATGTTTGAATAAATTTAGAGTACAGGTGTAGGTGGTTTGGTACAGAATGTAATTACATAGTCCACTTTTTATCCCCAACTTCTTTTTCATTGGAGTTTCTTAAATGGAACAGTAGAAGTTGATACTCAACCATGTAGGAAAGCAGTTCCAGGAAAAATGTCTTTGAGACCAGAAGAACTGAAGATGGGGTTCAGTGAGTTCTTTAAATCAGCAGTGCTGGCAGAAGGAGCAGTCCTGTCTGCTTCCCTGTGATGACTTTTTCTGCTGCTGCAGGTGTCTATGTGGCCATATGGCATACAAGGTTGGGAAACTGTTCTGGCTAAAAAGTGACCTAGACAACAGTCAGTAATTTCTCAGCCATATCAGTTCCCTGATACAGCTTTCTTTCTGCAGAAGTGTTGGAAACAAAGGGCAAAGATTGTTTCTTCTGGCAGCAGCACCAGTTTGTTAAAGCATTGAGTTACAGTCTTAATTTGATTTGGAAGTTCAGACTTTCAGAAGTATGCACAAAGCATTCTTGGCACTGTTCTTTTGTTAAACTAATAAGGAATTTAGCCCAAGAAGTGCCTTCATAAACTCATCTGCAATTTTAGCTGAACAAATCAAAGCCACTTCTAGGCTGGGCATGGTCTGAAGGTTTAGAAGAGAATTCCTGAACTGTAGAAGTTGACATAGTGCTCCACGTGATGCTATAGCTTCAACCATGTGAGATGAAAATGTGGGCTTTATTTCTATTTTTTCATATTTCTATCCCCTTGAGTTTGAAAATACTAGAATCTGAAAACCCCAGAATAGTGTATGCAGTTTCAGCTCCAAACCTCCTGGAATAATTGCAGCAGTTTTAGTGAAACACTGGAGCACATTTAGGTTAGGCTGAGGGAGTGAACATAACACCAGCCTTGTTTTATCAAGCTACCATTGAACTGTTGGTGATGACAATGCTAAAAGGCCTTGGAACCTCATTGTACTAGGAATGGCACAAGTGCATAGTAAGATTCAGTAGCCCAAAGAGCTTATGGGCTGCATATGCAAGGCACAGAGGGGAAAAGATTTGTACAAGGTCACCCAGCAGCTCACCAGCAGAGATTAAAGTAAAACTTAGATTTTTCTGAATTGCTGCTCACTACCCTGTCTGCTAAACAGTTACTTCGTTGATTGCATGAGTGTCTCAAATATTGGAGTAATTAAATGGAGGACTGGCTGGAGAAGTCTCTGCCCTTTCTCACTTGCTTTATCCAAGAATGGTGTAAAAATCAGCTGTCAGAAATGAATGTCTGCATCTGCAGGGAGGAATTCTTCTCTCATCTCCTGTTTATTGGAGATAAGGGGAGCTGGAACTAGGGGCTCCGCAAGAGAAAGGGAAATGAATTAAGGTGTACTGTTTCCAGTGATACCACTGCTGGAGTTTGTCAGAGAGTCACGATTTGGGACTTGTTTAAACTGTGCTGTCCTTTACAAAGGATTGTGTTATGCTCAACAAAGGAGGGGTTTGATAAAGTGCAATTGCCACTATTTCTTGGCTGAAGGCTCCAGGAGGTGAGTAGATTTCATTCCCTGGGCTCACTGCAGTGTCTTATCTCCGTTTTGGAGCAAGTTTTACATTAATCAGGGTATTAATAAATTACATTAATCAGGTTTCATAAACTTTTGGAGGAAGCTAAATGTCTTTTGCATGTACTGTCCAGTCTCCAACATTAGGTTTGAATCTTGCTTTATTCTCTGTTGAACCTGAGTGCTTTAATCGCTGTTCCTTTCTTCTTTGCAGCCTCTGTGAACGTACTTGTTCAAAACTGCAAAATTTACAATGATGCTAGCTGTGATATCTCTGCTGATGGGCAGCTGCTGGCAGCCTTCATTCCCAGCAGTCAAAGAGGCTTCCCTGATGAAGGAATACTGGCTGTGTATTCTCTGGCACCCCACAACTTGGGCGAGATGCTTTACACAAAGCGATTTGGTAAGCATTGCAGCAAGAAGTCAGGGTGGGTGGGAGTGTGAGAAGTTACCTCAGAACTGTTACCTCAGAACTCAGCCTTCAGTGGGAAATGCAATAGTCTGAACATTGGTGATTGCATTAACAGGAAATACTTTATTGGCCTTCCAACCAACCACAAATATGGTACTGCTGGGGAGAAGCTTGTGGTACGGTCTGGACATGTAAGGTGCTGATATGGGGAAGCTGCTAAGGGGTAGGTTTTTATTCCTTAAAGAACTTCATTGTCTTAGTGGGAGGACACTTGCTGCAAGCAAACGTCTTACAAAATTTGTTCTTGTGCAGTTCTCATTCTTCTCTACCCCTTATAAGGATGAGCTTAGTATGCCCTACATTAGGGGAATGCTGGAAGGGAAAGAAGAAGCTGTGAGGATGAGGCATGGGGAGGGATGTCAACCTGTGAGAGAAATAACTCCTCTTCTCTTTATAGGCCCTAATGCCATTTCTGTGAGCCTGTCTCCAATGGGCAGATATGTAATGGTGGGACTGGCTTCCCGACGTATCCTGTTGCACCCCTCCACAGAACACATGGTTGCTCAAGTCTTCAGGCTGCAACAGCCCCACGGTGGAGAAACCTCTATGAGGGTGAGTATATGTGTATTCTGTTTCTGTGTGTTTTCATCAGTGATTTTGTGTCATTTTGGCTCTAGCATAGTAGGTGGTGCTGTGTTATCATAGCAAAGAGGTAGCATGCTCCAGGTCCACTTGAATAATAAACATGTGAAGGAATTTATTATAGAAGTATGCAAACATGGCAGGAGAACATAAGTATAATAGAATTGTGAAACTTTACTCTAGTTTCAAATATGATGACAAACAAATGTATTCCATGTCGTGTGTGGTATCCTAAGTCTAGATATCACTCAGAGTACCTAGTAGGTCTTTTGTACTTCTTAAGGTAATATGCCTATTGCTTGTGGTACTACAGTTGGCTTTCCTGAGGGATTTTTTCAGCTGAGGTCTCAGGATCATTTCCTAACATTCCTAAAAGCAGCTAACCTCTAGGAGAGAGGCCACCAGCAGTTTCAGGAAGGGTAGGAGCCAAGCTTCATATCATACTCGCCAACTGAAGATGAGGCTTACCATACTTTTGCCAAACAGGCTTTTGTTGGCTACTTATTAATGAGCTTTCTATATATATGTAGGCCTATTTTGGCAATGGAATTATCTTTCTGTACTTTGGCTTTCTGGGAGAACTGAACTGTGACCCACTCTGACTCATTTAGTATATGAGGAAAAACCTTCATCTTTTTGCAAACTCGCAAACAGAGTTAAGAGAACCTGTGTGTCTTGCTTTGTTCATCCGCGGAGCACAACAGCTATTCAGTGATAGTTTGGGATGGAAAAAGTCTTGTCCAGCTGATAATGCACAAAGAGAGTTGAGGAGGCAGAACTAGATAATTTCTAAAGCTGAAATTTGGGCTGGATTCAAGTTTTAGGCCATGTATTCAGGTGACTTGTTGCAGAAGATGAAAAATAGCTATTAAAACCTTTTCACTTTGGGGGATAACTTGATAATAGTGGAATTCATTCCATGAGCAGCTTTTTTTTCCTCTGTCTACATCTCTCTCTTCCCACCCCACCCCCTCTTTTAAAAATGTTTTCATTTTTAAAAGGCCCCTCTGATTATTATTACTTTTGGCAGAGCATTCCCAGTGCACAAGGGTTGAATTGAACCATTCATCTAGTGGCCCAGCACTGGGAAGAGACTTGTCCCAGGGAGAAATTGCTTGATTCACCTTCAAACTCTGTAGTTGCTCTCCAGACCGCTCATGTTTCAGAGAGGGTTGTCTCAGCTGTGTCATTACATGAGCTACTTTATCAGCTGATATAAAACTCTTGCTTATAATCGTCATCTGTTCCATGTTATAATGCAAGGGAAAATCAATGATGAGGATATTCTTTGGTGCACCAATCAGCGCTTTTTCAGCCCTGGTTCTGAGCTACCATTCTACTACGAACCTCTTAAGGTAAGAGGCAGAAATTAAAAAGTATTTATGAGAAAAGCTCAATTTGGTTAGCAGGTTACGGTTGGTGAAAGCTGTGTGGATACGATAAGATCGCTAATTACATGGATTCAGTATCCTGTTAGGTCCTTTTAAAAGTCTAGTTTGCCCTGGTACTGTTTCTTTTTTAAGTTATTTTAAGATCCTAGTGAAATACATAGTTTTTACTGCCAGATACGGGAGTATCCCTTCCCACAGTCTTTTTACTGTACCATAATAAGTTAAGATCAAGACGTCCTATCAGCTAAAATTGTGTCTCTTCCCATAAAGAGCTATGGTAGAATTCTTTCCTCTCGTCCATTCTTTACATTTGCTGTAAACTCCAGTTGCTATGGCTTCTATCTAGTCCTTCCTTTTGGAGACCTTTTTTGTAGCCAGATAAATCAGTAAGCTTCTGTCTAAATCTTCCATTTATATTTCTTCATCTCCATTTCAAACATATCTTCTTTCCCTATGGTGTGTTATACTCTTCAAATGCTTGTAGCCTTGCTCTTAGTCACCATTTAGTGAAGTAATGCTTTGTATTCCCTTAATCTTTTCTTGTAATTCAATCTTCCAGCTTTTGGTTTTTTTCTCTTCTGAATTCTCTCCAAAATACCCTTCTCTTTTTTTCCCTCATTCTGGGATATGTTTAAATGTACGTAATGTGATAAGCATAGTCTTACCAGAAGCCCACAGAGGGTATTTTTTTCTGCTTTTTTTGGACTATAGGGTTTTACTTATGCAGTCAAAAACTGTTGGTTTTTTTCTTTTTTTGCTGTTATGGTGCATTGAAAATTTTGTACAATTTTTCCCACCCTTGCTTTTCAGACTTGCTCCATATCACTGTGCTCCTGTCTTTCTCATCTGCTGTAGCTCTGGATTATTTTCCTCCAGATGGATTGCATGTATTCTAAAGGTTGCTTTTTTCATCTTTCTTGCACATGTATTTTTAGCTTCCAAAAACCTTTCCCCCACGTTTTCAAATCTATCCAGTCTAGCAGGATTTGCTAATTAATTTGCTGTTTTCCCCTTTCCTGCATCATGTTTAAAGATGTTAAAAATGTCTCATTTCTGACTACTTTGGATTTTCAGCTTTCTGCCTATGTGACAGGGTCATAACTAGACCAGTTTTAATTAATTTGCTTAAAGAGCCTTCCTGTGGGGTGATGTTGAGTATTGTTTCAACATTGTGGTGTGGTGTTGGTCATCTTTGTGCAGTCTGTAGGACCAAGCTTGGAAAACATAAAATTGTTAATCTTGTAAATATTATTCCTTCATCTAGTTCTAAAAATTAGTAGAGCAACTACAGGTATTTCTTCTGTCTTGAATTTTGCAGCAAGACTGCTCCATAAGTTTGTAATACTTTTCAGGACATGCAAAATAAAAATAGAGCTTTAAGGAGGAAACGTTATAATATTCTTAGCACACTGTCTTTACAGTAGCTGCTGTATTCGTATTCAGTTGAGTAAAAACCTGTTTGCAGCTTGGCCAGCATGCAGTAGAAGGTGGTTTAGGAAACCTGGTGAAACTGTATTCTTCAATCTCTAATTTAATGTGCACATTAGAGAGAATTGGAAAGCATCATTGTTGCTTCTGTGCCAACAGCTTGTAATACAAAGCAATTGTTACTCAACTTCTTAATTAGAAGTAAGTCACAGCCATGTTCTGAAGCAATGCTTTGCGGATATTTTAATTTTACATTACCTGCAAAACTCCCAAGAGAGAAATTTGAGAGAAATGCTACATGAGATTCTATGAAAATTCTTGTAAGTTGTCTCATGATCGTTCCTTCCTTCCTTGATGCCTTTTGGTTTGCAGTCGATGAACCAGGAGAGTAGGGCTTGGCAATGTGGCCTGTAAGTCACTGCAAAAGCGTGGCAACCTGCCGAGGAGTGAAATACAGTGATTATTTCTGCTTCCAGTTAAAATGGAAAGACCCCTCCCTCCACATCCTAGACTAGCAGTCAGTGGAATACAGGTTTCTATTCCTCAGAGATGTTCCTCCATCTTGCTGTTGAAATAGAGGTTTTGAAGGTGCAATTAATTAGTTTTGTTATGTGAAACTCTAGTACATTTAACTGCACCTAGAAATGCACTGGCTGCAGGTGTAATTTTCAGAGTTGGAGAGAAATGTTCTCTTCAAGAACTACAGCACTTTTGGATTGTACTAAGGAGCATCTTGGTTATACAAGTGTGCATTGTCTATATACATCTTGCTCCTAATATTTCAGAGAGATTGGGTAGAGTTCTTCAGGTCAGGGCTGATATGATTTGACAGTTATTAATTGTGCTCAGAAATGGAGTAAAATTAGTGAATTATCATCAAATATGGTAGAGTCATGAGCTAGAGGTTCATGCTCTTTCTGTTCACTCCCTTAAGACTGATCTGCTTAGCATTTCAGATGGAAACCTGGCTTTGCTAAGGAACAAGTTTGTTTTTCAGACTGAGGCTTAAAAAGCTCTCTAGTAGTGTTGACTTCAACAAGAGTGGTATGCATAAACTTCACTTTTTTTGTTTTGTGGTTTAGTTTTTTGGTTTTTTTTTTGCAAACCTAGCTTACATCTCTGGAATTTTTCTGTAGCTGGAGAGTATAGGGAAGGAACTGCTTTTAGAGATCTCTAGCTTGGAATGGTACAGGTAGCAGTGGTACAGCAGTGGGAATTGTCTGGAAATACTTGAGTTTCAGAGGTGGGAAGTTTGGAGAAAGGACTCCAAATATGGAGGAAGAATAGGTTTTGCAGCCTATTTTGAAAGCATAGGTGGAGCTGGTCTCCAAATAAAGAGCATCTGTTTTCAAGCTGCTTGTCTAGGGTGATTTTTGAATTCCGTATGATTCCAAGAGTATACAGAGGTTAAAGAACCTAGAAGAACATGAAATTAGAAACTTGGTTGGAGCTGAAGTTCCTTAGAAACATAGAAGAGTAAGGTTCATATTGCCCTGGATCTGTTAGCAGTGGATATTAGTGAGAAAGAAGGCCAGAAGGTAGTTTTATTTCTGGCATTCACAAATTCCGATGCTCTTGCAATGTTTAATATTTTTCATTTTTACCCAGAGGAAGCTAACTCTAAATATCAGAAAAACACGATTACTGTAATCCAAATTAAAATAAAAATTGGAAAGGGGCTTTTAAGCTGAGGATATAAAAAGTGAGTTGGGTGATAGAAAACTTTGATTGACATGAAGCTGAAGAGCAAATCATGCAATTTGTGGGGATGAGGTGACTTAACCAAGCCCCATTCTAAATACTGCATTATGCTTTGATTCTGGAAGGAAATTCAGGCTGTGGAGATCCAGAATTAACTCTTGACAAGACTACTGG